GGGCTGCAATTCAAACGATAAGGAGGGAACAGTGCGGCAAAAAGAAGGGGGGAAATCCATGCTGAATCTGGCAGGTGTTCAAATCGGAAAGCAAAGTTCACCAAGTATGTAGAAACCTACTAAAAGCTGGGTAAAAAATATACAAAAGAGGGGAAAAATGAGCAAACATTAGAGAATCATCAAAATCTCTCTCTCTAATGAAACAGAATCTGTCCATGCCAGCTTTAGCAACAAATTACCCATATATCGTATAAGCCCATTAAATAATGCTTTTCAACATCCAGCTTTACATTTAGCATTGTTGCTAATGGTTATTGCCCTAAAAGCCAGCTTCCTAACAACACAGTTGTACTGAGGTGTCTGCTTCTGCCGCCAGCAGTGGTACATTACAAAAGGGGGGAAAAGACAAATGCGCAAATTACATCTCACATCTGGAAGTTGTACTAGTTAATGTGATGTTAATTGAAAGCAAGCTTAGCAAAAGGAGGGGAGGGCCTTTTTTCTCCTGCAACACCCAATTGTCTGGCCTTCCACACAGTTTCTTTTCCTCATGCCACCCTGTGACCCTACATCACATTCTGGCCTTCCGCAAACTCCTCTATAAAATGTGTTGTTGTTGCTGTTGTTGTTCCATTCTACATTACATTATATGGTGGGGCAGTGGGGTGTTGCTCAGGCATCTTAGCAGTGCCAGTGTGTGGAACCTGGAAACACTATTCATGGAAATGAGATCCAAGCCTCTTTTCTATGTATTGCTCAAGGCTACAGGGAAGAGATAGCAGCTGACTTAATCAACTGTTCTGGAATATGCTCTTTTTATACTCTCTCTTTCTGTGGGAGTTATAACCTTGCACACTTCCTCTCTCATTCTTTGTGGTGGAGACCTCAGCGCAGATTGCAGCTATAACAAAGGCGGCATTTTTTCATCTCCGCCAGGCTAAGCAGTTGGCCCCTTACCTCTCTCGCCCTGACCTAGCCACTGTGATCCACGCGACGGTCACCTCCAGACTGGATTATTGTAACTCGCTCTACGTGGGGCTGCCCTTGAGACTGACCCAGAAACTCCAGCGGGTGCAGAATGCCGCAGCGAGACTCCTTACGGGGTCTTCGCTGCGAGATCACATTCATCCGGTGCTATACCAGCTGCACTGGCTCCCGGTGGAGTACAGGATCAGGTTTAAGGTGCTGGTTTTAACCTTCAAAGCCCTATACGGCCTAGGACCCTCGTACCTACGGGACCGCCTCTCCTGGTATGCCCCACAGAGGAACTTACGGTCCTCAAATAAAAACATCTTGAAGGTCCCAGGCCACAGAGAGGTTAGGCTGGCCTCAACTAGAGCCAGAGCTTTTTCGGCTGCGGCTCCAACCTGGTGGAACGCCCTGTCGCAAGAAACAAGGGCCCTGCAGGACTTGACATCTTTTCACAGGGCCTGTAAGACAGAGCTGTTCCACCAGGCCTTTGGTCAGGGCGCAGCCTGACTCCCTCCTTTGGCAATCTCTACAAAGCTTTAGTCTATGGTTGCCATCAATTTGTATTTTAATTAATTTTTAGAATGTATTTATAATGTTGTACTGTTTTAGTGTTGTTAGCCGCCCTGAGCCCGGCTTCGGCTGGGGAGGGCGGGATATAAATAAAATTTATTATTATTATTATTATTATTATTATTATTATTATTATTATTATTATTCTGCTCTCCCCTAAAGAATCTTACAGAATCTTGCATGACCTTCAACATTCAAGGGACCATTCACAACCACTGCCTTTGAACTCTTACAAGAGTTATATTTTCCAGGTCTGCTTTAGATACTGTACGCTCTTGCTGTGAAAGGACACAAAGCAGGGGAAAGGAGCAGTGGCCTAACTTTTTATTGATCTGGGAGTATTTACATTTTCAAGATGGAATGCACAGAGCATCTGCATGCTGTGCCTGCATATCAAAGTCAGTTATGTATGAGAAGTATGTTTCTGGAGGGTTTTACAGGGAGGGTTTTACAGTTCTTGGCCACTGCAGGTGAGCAGATCCTCTCCACAAGAGGTGCTGGCTGAGGCTGACAGGAGTCGCAGTCCAAAATATCTGGAAGGCATCAGGTTGGGGAAGGCTGCACTAACTTACAGGTGCTTAACAGTGTATAACAGCAAGAACACCTGGTGGACAGAGAGGACTCTGAAGAACACCTGCTCTCTCACTGCCACCATTATCTCTGAAGGATTGCTAAGTCAGGAGCCGTGGCAGCTGGGCACCTGCTCATTTGAGGAAGCCCTGCTCCACAGGGGGACTGAAAATTTAGGGAAGCTAATGAGGAGGACCAGAGCTCTGTGCCACAGCATCTGCTTTGCAGGCAGGCAGTCCGCAGTTCAATCCTTTGCATCTCCAGGTAGGGTGACAAAGGTCCCGTCTGAAATCCTGAAAAGCTGCTACTAATGTTGCCCTGACTCAGTATAAGACAGCTCGCTATGCTCTTCCTAGCCGGTCAGGAAGAAGACTGTTGGAGTCTGTTTCCTCTGTGACCACTGCTGTGAACATGGCAAGGCATTAACCCCAGCGATAAGGCTGGATAGGACTATGTATGTACATCACTGTTCCAGTGCCCTCCCCCTGGAGCCACTGAGACCCTTTGCCCACAGTGGCAGGAGGAACACTTGGCAGACTGGGGAAAGGACACCGGAGAACGTATGGCCCCTTTCTGCCACTGCCTTAAGGTAAACTCAGCCAAGAGCCATACCATACCATCAGTTGATATAATAAGCGTCACCGGAGATTTCCTCCAGATGTTGTTGGACTCCACCAGCCCAAGCCAGCATGGGCAATGATCAGAAATAATGGGAGCTGCAGGTTTCCCACCCCTGTGTTAAAGCCATTGTGTTACTTTGGTCCGCTTTCAAATCTTTACACCTGTTTTCACCTTTGCAGGGCTGCAACCTGGCAGACAAAGTGTTGCTCCAGCACACACCAGAGTAGACAGTCAGAATTTAAACTACGCCAAAGAGGTTTTGTGGCATGCAGTTTAATAAATAATAATTTCAAAAATTTTAGTCTGTGGTGCTCAGACTTCAAGGTATCACTTAAATTCTAAGCAGGAGAGTATTTTGAAAGCATTGGGTCAACTATAAGCATATTCTATAGCTGCAATTAGAAGTGTTTCTGGAAGACCCTGGGATATCTGCAGAATGTCCCGTGAACTCTTCTATTCAAGACTCATGAGGGATATATTGCATGTGAATATTATTGTCACTGGGTGCCTAACCCGCAACATTACTCCTGATTTAACCATGGGAGCTCTCCATGGTGCAAAGCATCACTCAGAAATATGCACACGCCATAAGAATGGCTAGATTGCAATATTACCCTGAATAACCAATTAGGAACATAGGAAGCAGGCTTATACTGAGTTAGATCATTGGTCCACATAGCTCCATACTGTCTACACTGACTAGCAGCAACTCTCCAACCTTTTGGGCAATGATTCTTTCCCAGCCCCTATCTAGAGATGCCAGGAGCTGAACTTAGGACCTTTTCCATGCAAAGCAGATGCTCTAATACTGAGCTACAACCCTTCAATTTCCTAGTAGCTGTCACAAGATAATGCCCTTTCCTAGGGAAGATGCCGTCACTGTCCTTGACATGAATGGAAATCAAGCATATTCTTACATACTGTAATGAAAAGGGACAGACTTCCAAGATTTATAGTGTAAGCTCCTTTGTTATACAATGCAGTAGATAATTCAGTTTAGCTTATGAAAGATGGGCATATTTGCATGTTATTTGTTTATTAATGTCCAGAATGTAAAGAGAGGGACTTCTGTTTTCATTAGTTTTCATTCTGTTTTCATTGAGAGCTTAGCTTAATGCTTCTCTTTTGCTACTTACACCAATAAAAGCACAACATTTCCCAGTACCATAACTAGTGGAAATCCTATAAATGATAACTGGGGAAGCACCAGGCTGTTAAATGAAAACCTGGTGAGTAAGTAAAGCAGCACAATTTCATTTCTATTATGTTGCTCAGTCTATTGACCCAGTTGTCACATGCCCTAACAAGAGGTTGCTGAAGTCAACACAGAGAGTTCCTGCTGAGGAAGCTCTTTGTGGATCACCCAGTAAGTTTACTACCCACGTATTACTGAAGGCCTCCTACTCACTAACTGTTCTGCAGACTGTGCCATATCCCTTTGCTGAATGCAGAGGGTCCTTCTCACGTGGGAGTTTGCATGGCAGCTCTGTGGCTGACATTATTACCCTTGCCCACCTCACTTTTCCCATCTGCAAAATGGCAAACATAGAAACCTGTCTTGTTTTGGCATGCAGAATGATATATTTAGTTTCAATTCTGCCTAGACACTGGAAATCAAAAGGACATGCCAAGGATAAGGCTGGTGGCCTGGCTAATTTTGATAGCTGTGAAAGTGGGATATAGTGATTATATGCTTGCTTATTCAGTCTACAGTCCTGCACATATTTACACCCACACAGATTCTATTATTACACTCAAAGGAGAGACACGTAGGAATTCACCATTTATTGCATGTATATATTTAACGTTAGGAAGAGTCTTTCTGTGCTTCGGTGAAAAATGAACCAACAACACGTTATCATTAGCAGTTAAAACTCTTAAAAGAGTTAATACAACACTGGTCCAGAAGTGGGCATCGCAGATACACTTCCTATTATACAAGTTCATACACTGTAATGAAACCCATATAGTTTGAATGGAGTGGATCTCCCTGCCTAAAACTTACCCCTGTCCTTTGCTCCCACCTGAAAAAGTCTTCATGGAACCACGCATTTGAATAAGTTAAGCTGCAAACCAGGAGGCAGGATTCGAATCAGAGTTCAAATCCTGACTCTGTTACTTTCTGTGATAAATGGCTCAGACCATGTGCCTCAAATCTTCATTGCGCTCTTGCGGTAAACTTTATCCCAAGCTGCCTTTCTATCCGCAGCGGAGACAAATGTCCCCACCAGAAAATTTTGCCTTCCACTCAGTGTCCGCCAACTCACCTGTTTGTAGGCATCTAGTAGGAAGCTGTTCCAGACGCAGCGCAGCCCCTCCGACGTGAGCATCCTTCGCCACTCGCAACGTGCAGCCTTGGAGCGGCTCAGAAGAAGCACCATGTGCTTTAGGAGGACCACCGAGTCATAGAGTGCAAGGAAGAGGCAGTTGGAGAAAAAAACCGGCAGGATTTGAAGGGTGATCAACAGGTCCACACTTAAGAGACCCATCTTGCTTGCTGCTGCTCTTCAGAGGCTTCCCTTGAGTTCCCTCGTCATGCCCTGTGCTCTCATTAACAATAATAATTAAAACGAAAAACAAAGTGCTCCTTAAAAACTCATGGTGCCCTGTCTCTTCTCGTAGAGTTGCCTCAGTGCAGCGGAGCACGGGCTTAATGAAAGGAAGGAAGGAAGAAAAACATTAACTCAGAACGCCAGTATGAAAATCTTTTCCACCCTGAGCTGCTTTTAATTTTTCAGAAACTCCTAAGTCAAACTTTGTGTTGTTGTTTCTCCTTAGCCAGTAGCCCCTTTTCAGTCCGCTACAGGGAGAGACAGCTGCGCTGCCAATTGCTTGCAGTTCTAAAACTGAAGCTGAGCAAACTGCTAACTTTCCTCTAACTCTGAGGTATTGAAAAGCGCTGAGCAGCTCTAGCACTCTCGCTCTCTCATTCCTTTTATCACCAAAGCTCTCAGGTGAAACAATACTTTTTTTCGTTTGGTGGAAGAGGGGTGGGTGGGAAGAAATCTTTGTACACAAACTTTCTGCTCTTCTCTCTCTCTGTGCTGCCTCCGTCTCTCTCTCTCTCTCTCTCTCTCTCTCTCACTCTCTCCTGCCACACTCTTCTTTCTCTCTCCCTCTCACTATCTGCCTGTGGTACAAAGTGCTTTCCCTCTGGAGTTCTAGCCGGCTTCCCTCAAGCCTTTTATACATTCCCTGGCTAATTGCTGCAATAGAGAAATGAAACCCTAATCTTAGTAAAGATCTTGACGTCAATGTAAAAAGAGGGCTTTACTTTGGCCAGAACTGCAGTGAATAGAAAAGTGAAATTTTCTAAACTCTTTTTTCCCTCTCTCTCTTTTAAGGAAAGAGAAGGGAGTGGGGAGGGAAGAACTTTGCTTTGTTGGGTTTTTGTTTTTTTATATATAAAGGAGAGGGGGAAATCTCTAGATACTTGTGGTGCTTTTTTCTTTTACAAATGCTTTCAAACTTTGGAAAAATATTTTCATATGACGTGGAAAGTGACACCATAACAAGGTCTTCTATTGTTTAGAAGGGTACCCCCCCTTTCTTAGAGGTTTTTTTTATTAAAAATAAATAAATATTATTATACCCTTTTGTATTTTCCAGGAAGGTGTAAAAGCTGATGCATCTTAGAAAAGGGCATGTTTTGGTATGTTTCCCTCCCACAACCATCAAGTACAAAAGCCTGTGCAATTTTAAATATCTTTTGTCTTCTTCTTGGTATTTAAGGAAACACAAGGAACACCCAGGTCTGACTTCATCTGCTGATGTGGAAGAGAATTAAAAGAGGTGGGGAGAAGAGTAAGGCTTTAACTGACCTTTTATGTAAAACTGAAGTTCATCAATGAAAATGCATTGTACTGAATTTGGAGCTGATTTAAAGCAGAGTGCCTCATACATTCCAATTATAAAGTTACAGGGGATTGCATTTGTTCATAGGGATCTATTTCACACATTAAAAAGAATGCATTGCTTTTCTTCAAAGGGAGAACCATTTCCTCTGAAAGATTGAGATAGCCTCCTATTTTCATATAAGAAAGGTGTAGGGACAGAAAATGTATCTGTCTCTAGTGAATGACACTGATAGTTACAGCTGTGCCAGCAATCTAGGCTGATGGCAAACTGCCCCAGGAAGACAGGCCACTGTTCCCCAGAACCAAGGAATCTGAGACAAGAAGAACTGGAGTGCATGCCCTATCAGATCAAACTGGGCTTCTCCCTGCATGCAAAATGTTTTCTGGTGTTAAGTTCTTTTCCTCTGTTTGGGATAGTTAGCAAAATTATTAATGCTTTTGGTATGAGGTTTCTGTCTTCCATCAACATGAATCCCAACATGTTCAAGGAAGGCAATCACAGCCAATGTGGTGCCCTCTAACCAGCACAGTCAATGGCTAGGGATGCTGAGAGTACTTAATCTTCAGTGCTTACGGTTTTCCTTGTGCAACAATGCTCTGCCAGTGCAACAAGTATACCAATAGGTAACTTAGCACTACATTGGGTACAAACCATGGAATCACTAAGTTGGGAATCTATTGTTTCCCCTCGCTCAGTGCAAAACGTAACTACTACCTCCTTGAGCCTCTGTTGAAATACCTCCAGCAATACCTCCTAGTTGTTCCCTCTGGAGCAACCTAGAATAGATGAATTGGCACATGCAAGAAACAACTAACAAGACTGCATGTAGCAATACTGTGGAGAGGGCACAACTGAAGTGTAAGTGTAAGCGTGGGATACAGGGTTTGACTTCAGTTTAATGATGCCTCCAACTGCAGTCCAAATCTTCCCCTGGCTACCCCATCTTTACTTGAAAGAATGGGTTTCCCATTTCCCCCGAAGTCTTGCCAATTGCATCCCTTTAACTTTGTCCTACATGGGAGGGTGGGGGTTAGCAGTGAGAAGCAAGCATCTTCTGTTCTGCAGTGCCCCACCCCAAATTCATATGGTAGTATATGACATATAAAGACCGAGCTGGGACAATGGCATCATTGTAATAGGCTGAATGTGTGTGTGGAGAGACCCGTGCATTTCAGGGACCCGCAGAAGTGAATGCCAGCCATTTGCTTACATAGGACTACAAACAGGTGCACTATGGGGGAGACTGCTAGGGGAGGGAATAAACTTGATCACCTCCTTTCCATTATGCCCCAGTTTGCCAGCCATTTATAGTGGCCCACAGCGTTTAGCTCGCCATCAACGGCATAGCTTCACCCCTTCCTTTGCTTTTGCAAAGGGTTGCAGGTTTTTCCCTACCCCCAGAGAGGAATGCAACTAAGAGCTGGAATTTGGGAACTGGCTGAAACATATTATTTGTATAGTCTTTCCTCACAACATTCCTATCAAATGTATCACTATAGTTCCTATTTTTAAGACAAGAGACCAGAAGACACTGACATGGCAGACTTAGTTGCCAACCATGCGTCGTGGTTTCCAAGTGTGGGCACGCCCACCAATTTATCTGCACACAGACCATCATGTGTGATGACTGTACATAACTACAGCAAGTTATGCGCATGCATGGTGTAAATGACGGGGCCTCGCCCTGCAAAAGTCCCCCCAGCCAGAGAAGGACCAGCACTGCACCTGTTGCTTTGAGATGGTGTCACTCATTGTCGTCTACCACACAAACACCTCTCAGAGCTGGATGAGAAGTGGCACTTTTGAACTGGAACTTTTATCATGTGCACCGTCTAGGTTAAGTTAACCAAAATGCCAGGCCCTGGCCCATACAGCTATGTAATCAATAAATTCCACAGATTGATGGGCTGGGGCACTACCTCTTGAGTGACCTAAAATGGTGGGCAGCCATGTGGATGAGAGCTGCTGAAAAGCATCTTGGGGCCCAGCAGTAAATGCAGTGAATGGTGAGGAGCCCTTCAAAACCTCTGGGGCCCTCGACTAGTGCCTGCCCAGGCTGAGTGCTGATGCTAGGTCTATGCAGGGCCATCACACATGATAATCTACACTTGTACAACACATAAAGGCCTTTTGTGAAGGGGAAGAGGCCCTCAGCAAGTCCAAAACCTGTGAGATATCTGAGATACTTAGTGTCTAGTCCATTTAGAGAGACACAATGACTCTCCCTCCCCTCCCCCACCTCTGGGAGAGGTAGCAAACCAACTGAGGAAGAGATATGTTGTACAAGCTGTACCTTCAGCCAGGTACACCATGTTCTCTTAAGTGTTGTTCTGCAAAGCTTTAATACAGAATTGAGAAATACAGAGAACCCATGTTCAGTTCTAGGGAAAGTGTAGGGTGCAGTTTGCTAAAGGAAAGAATGATTCCTGCCATTGTGGCATATGCCTTAAGCTTGTCAAGTGAGGGGGTCTCTGCATTGTATGTCAGTGCTGTTAAGAAGTTTGGCAGGTGCCAGTCAGTGGGGTTGTTGAGAGTTTGGGGCAAAAGTCCAGCAACCCACCCAGCAAGAGGGTCCCAAAGAGAGCAAGGCTGGCTTACCACATTTTGGAGCATTTCTATCTAAAGATGAGTTCCCCATAAGACTGTTAAGTCCAGAGTCTAAAACAACCTAACTGCTCCACTGGCAGTGATGAGATACTGAACATTTTTCCTAGTTGTATCCTTCTTCTAAGTGCTTTTCCTGTGGAAGCCCATCTGAATTTGTTGAACCTGTCCTTTAGAAGGCAACTTAATTATTATTATTTAAATAACCTTTCTGGAAGGAGCTTGGATCAATGGGGAGTTCTATCCAATTATTTCTCCTTGACTATTTGTTTATATTAGAATTGTATCATTTGAAAAAGAAAAGAAAAAAACACCACACGGCTATGAGACCTCATGGGGCTTATGATATGGCTTACATATATATATATATATATATGCAGGTTTTGGTGTCCTCGGGTGTCTTCCCGTGTAAAAGTTGGGGTGTCTAGGCGACGTTTCGACGAGGTCTCACTCGTCATCTTCAGGCTGGTGCTTTCGGCTTCTTGTTACTGGTTACTCTGTTCCAGTAACAAGAAGCCGAAAGCACCAGCCTGAAGATGACGAGTGAGACCTCGTCGAAACGTCGCCTAGACACCCCAACTTTTACACGGGAAGACACCCGAGGACACCAAAACCTGCATTCCTGTACCCGTGAAAATCTACGAAAGCAAATATATATATATATATATATATAGGGGTGTGGGGGGGTGGGTGTACACACACACACACACACACACAAATATATACTGGTGGGGTTTTCTTTTTTTAAGGAAACTTTTCTCTTTGGAACAGAGTTGATCCCAACAGAAATCACATTGATCTTACACCTCCCAACCAATTTCTACAAAATATTTCTTAAGGACATTCTCTCTGCCTCCCTTGTGGTGGGCCTCAGTTGCCTGCTTGTCATATAGTGCTTACGTATTACTCCTACTGGCCTCTGCAACATTTGGGTGACTTTGCATCAGAACTCCGTTCAGAAGGGGAGCCGCAGATGGGACAAGTGGCAAGCACCATCAGCACACTGGAAGCTCCAAGGCCAACAGTGACATGCTCCCTCCAGTAGAGGTCAGACGTGACACTGAAAGCGGGTGTGAATAGGAGGCCAGCAGAGAGGATTATTCATGTGCCTTTGGGAAAGGGACTTGCTCACCCTGTGATAATCTCAGGAAGGAACAACCAAGAGGCTTTGGGGCCCTTCTTATTATTACATCGCTCCTATCTTCTTCTTGCTGAACAAGACCTTGCAGTTGTGCTCCGAGGCCTTTGTAAAACCAGTTCATTCAACATGAAGATTGTCTGGCTTATCTTATTGGCCCCAGGGAGCCCCTGCAACAATGTCACCAGTTTCACTTGTATGCCATATCTTGGTTGAACTTGCATGTGCCTGTGAACAGCCTGACAGATATGCACAACACTCTTAGAATCAGACACTTAGGTGAACTGAATTGTTCTGAGTCCGTGGATAAACTGACTACATGGAGAGGGTATAAGCTTGCCAGTTTTGTGTGTGTGTCAGCCCAGCTCCTGTGCATTTAAGAACAGTATGACACAGCAATAAAATAAATAAAATAAAATTAGCAAGTGAAGCTTCCCTACCAAATTTCTAGGCGACAGGCGGCTGTTAAAAGCAGAGCAGCAGGGCTATTAAAAAGATAGCAACTAGCAACAATAGCAGAGCAGGGTGGACTTCATCATCTAGTTATTTCAGAGGAATGAGAGAAACTCTAATGCGGGGAGGGGGGTGCAGTCATGGCAATCCTAACCTGACTGAGTGGATCACCAACAGCACATTACATCATGTTACTTGGGTTTAATTAGGATATAGCTTTTATGTATAAAACCTTAAATGATTGGACACTAGTGTTGCCATTTCCCTCCACCTCCACTGCCTTTTACCTCTATTTGGGACGTGCAAAAATGCAGTGCCAGTTTTTCCCCAGCAAGGAGATACAGTGATGGGGAGATTCTGCAGACGTTGAATTTCTGCCTATTTGGAGGAAATGTTTCAGGAGATGAAAAATCCACCTTGAGTTTGACAAACCTTGAAGCCAACCTTCTCCTCCCTTACATCCACCCTCAAATCTTTAAACTCAGCCAAGGTCTTATTGGCCAATGTGTCAAACAAATTGTGAAAGTATCAAGAGGTGTCCTCAGCAGTTGGCTGTCCTACAGTTGAAGAACTCTGTTTCCCAGAAGACATTTTCTGGAAGCATGGTCATGTTTGGACTATCTTTTAATAGCAAGGGTTAAGTAGATATGCAGCCATTTCAAATCAATTTAGTGCTTCAGTCTCTCTCGTGGGAATTTTATTTACTGGTTTTGGAGCAATGTTGTTTGAGCGTTGCTACCCAACCAGAGACTTCAGGATGGTGCAGGTTAAAAACTCAAATAAACAAGTGAACACACAGGAGTCTAAGATTCTGCTGGAGTTCAAATATACAGGTGCCTATGGTATTGTCAAAGATCATGTAATGGAATTTGTTCATCTGTGTTTCCTTGATACCTTTGACGAGGAACAGAGAATTGCAAATAGGCTGCCTAATGCCAATCATTAGCATACCACTGATGTTTCTTGGGATTGACCCAGACAATTACTCACCTCAAGCATTTGGCATAATTTTCCCTTAAGAAAACATCGATCAACTCCGCTGCAATTCACATACATGTGCCGAAACAACACTCAGCTGGAGCAACTCTCAGCACATGCTGGAGGCTGTTGATGTCTTCTTAGCGCTTAGGCAAAAGCCTGCCAGTATCCATTAAGAACACACACCTATAGCGTGGACTGCAAAGCCGCACTCCTGCACCAGCTCTGTAGGGTAAAAGGTAAAGGTAAAGGGACTCCTGACCGTTAGGTCCAGTCGCGGACGACTCTGGGGTTGCGGCACTCATCTCGCTTTACTGGCTGAGGGAGCCGGCGTACAGCTTCCAGGTCATGTGGCCAGCATGACTGAGCCGCTTCTGGCAAACCAGAGCAGGGCACGGAAACAGCGTTTACCTTCCCGCTGGAGTGGTACCTATTTATCTACTTGCACTTTGACGTGCTTTCGAACTGCTAGGTTGGCAGGAGCAGAGACTCAGCAACGGGAGTTCACCCCATTGTGGGGATTCAAACTGCCGACCTTCTGATCGGCAAGCCCTAGGCTCTGTGGTTTAGACCACAGTGCTACCCGCATCCCTGTAGGGTACCTCACCATCAATGGATGAACCATCCCACTTCTCTCTTCTTGCCACCACCCGATTATAGGAGCAGGAGGATTGCTAGCTGAAATCATGCCTAGTCATTTCAGCCCCATCAGTCCTCCTAATCTCCCAGGCACTTTGGAGCAATAGCATAGTTCACAAGGTCTAAGTAAGGTGGGGGGGATAATCAGCCCCAAACTACAATTAAACAGCCTATTTAAGTGAAGTGCTAAAGAAAAAGAAAGAAAGTGAGAGAGAACAGTGAGTAGGCACTATCAAAAAGGGAAGAAAAAAAAAACACCAGGCCAGAATGTTTTTTTTTTTTTTTTATAAAATTTTTATTGGTTTTAGAAACTTTTTAAACAAAAAACAAACAAACACCAAAAATAACAGACATACACGTATAGTTTCAAACATATTTTCATAAACTTCTTTCCTTTGACTTCCCCATACCCCCCTCTCTGCATCCCAGTGTCCAAAGTTCAACTAGCAACTCCCAATTGTTATTTTCCAATCTCTATCTTCTTAGTCCTTTTTTAATTTTCTAACCTTATATCCCTGTATCCCTTTGTTTCTGAAAACCGCAACATTTTAGCATTCATTAAGTTTATAGTAGTCCTTAAGATAACTTTTAAATTTTCTCCATTCTTCTTCCACCGTCTCTTTTCGTTGGTCACGGATTCTGCCTGTCATCTCAGCCAGTGTCATATAGTCCATCACTTTCATCTGCCATTCTTCCAAAGTGGGTAAATCTTGGGTCTTCCAATACTTTGCGATGAGTATTCTTGCTGCTGTTGTAGCATACATAAAGAAAGTTCTATCCCTCTTTGTCACCAATTGGCCGACAATGCCCAAGAGAAATGCCTCTGGTTTTTTCGAGAAGGTACATTTGAGTACCTTTTTAATTTCATTATAGATCATTTCCCAGAAGGCCTTAATCTTCGGGCATGTCCACCAAAGGTGGTAGAAGGTACCTTCAGTCTCTTTACACTTCCAACATTTGTTATCGGGCAGATGATAAATTTTTGCCAGCTTGACTGGGGTCATGTACCACCTGTAAATCATTTTCATTATGTTTTCTCTTAAGGCATTACATGCCGTAAACTTAACACCGGTGGTCCATAACTGTTCCCAGTCGGCAAACATAATGTCATGACCAATGTCTTGTGCCCATTTAATCATGGCTGATTTCACCGTTTCATCCTGTGTATTCCATTTCAGCAACAAATTATACATTCTTGACAAATTCTTAGTGTTGGGTTCTAACAGTTCAATTTCTAGTTTCGATTTATCCACTTGAAAGCCAATTTTCCTGTCCTGTTTGAAAAGCTCCATTACTTGGTAGTATTGAAGCCAGTTTTGTACTTTATCCTTCAATTTGTCATAACTTTGTAATTTCCACTTATCTCCATCCTGTTCCAAAATTTCCCAATACTTCGGCCATCCGACCTCCATATTGAGTTTCTTTACTGCTTTAGCCTCGACTGGTGACACCCATCTAGGGGTTTTGTTTTCCAACAGATCTTTATATCTCATCCATACATTAAACAGTGCTTTTCTAACAATGTGATTTTTAAAGGCACTATGCTGCTTAATTTTGTCATACCATAAATATGCATGCCAACCAAAAACATTATTAAAGCCTTCCAGATCCAAGATGTCTGTGTTCTCGAGGAGCATCCATTCCTTCAACCAGCAAAAAGCTGCTGCCTCATAATACAATTTTAAGTCCGGCAGGGCAAACCCCCCACCAGGCCAGAATGTTGGCCTCTGTAACCGTATACAAGGCAATCTAAAGTTACTCTTATGGTTATCTCTAACATTGGCTGCCTCGGAGTTGGTTGTAGGATAAGGGACAAAGGAATACAGGGAACATTTCAATATCCATAATCTTTTGTGTGAAGATCACTTTGAGGGACAGGCCTCTGGGTCAGCCAGGTGCAAAGAGAAAAAGCTTCAGGGAAGTGAGCTTAATACTTTGGGAGAGGGGAAACTGTCAAAATGTTAACTACTGTCAAAGTTCTCCAGCTTCCTAGCTAGAAGGCAAGCTTTCCTCAGTTTGTTTATTTGAGGGGAGATGTGACCTCTCCACTTGGACATGATGGAGAAGTAGAGAAATCGGCTATCTTGAA